ACTCACCAACTGAGATCATGACCTGAGCCGAAATCAAGAATCAGACGCTTAACTGATTGAGCCACCCAGGCACCCAAATGTTTATTTTTGAGAGAGAGAGAGAGAGAGAGAGAGAGAGAAAACACAAGCGGAGGAGGGGCAGAGCAAGAGGGGGACAGAGGATCTGAAGAGGGTTCTGTGCTGACAGAAGAGCCCCAAGCGCAGCTTGAATTCATGAACTGTGAGATCATAACCTGAGCCGAAGTTGGACGCTCAACTGAGCCACCCAGATGCCCCGCTAGTAGAAACAGATTTTTTAAAACAGAACTTATATTATACAGAAACTCAGGGGCACCTGGGCAGCTTGGTTGAGCGTCCCACTTTGGCTCAGGTCATGATCTTGAAGTTCATGAGTTCGAGCCCTGCATTGGGCTCTGAGCTGTCAGCACAGAGCCTGGAGCCTGCTTCGGACTCTGTCTCTCTTTCCTTGCCCCTCCCCCGCTTGCTCTCTCTAAAACAAATATTAAAAACACACACACACACACACACACACACACACACAAAACTCAGGGGTGTATAGAAAATGATATACATCTTTAAACCCCAGAAATTTGGAGACCAAATTTTGATTAATGGCCCGATTATCACTACTGCTTTTGTTGAGTTAATCTTGCTGAAATCTTCATTTCAATGGCCTGTAGGACATTGGTGTTGGGAGCCAAGAGTTGTGCTGTTCAACACAGTAACCACTAGCCACTGGTGACTGTTTTCTTAAAATTAAAACTAAGTAAAATTTAAAATTTGTCTCCTCAGTCACACTAGCCTCAAGTGCTCAATTGCTACTTGTGGCTGGTAACTACCGTGGTGGACAGGGCATGGAATATTCCAGTCTTGCAAAGTTTCGTTGGACAGCTTTGACTTGTCATTCCAGATTCCCAGGTGTCTTCCGGACTATTTGTCCGGCCCTTCCACCTTATCTCATGGAACTGCTGCTCTTATTTTACTACTTCAGGTGCATTCTCGCTTCTCCCTGCAGCTCCACACTAACCTTTCTCAAAATGGGGGATGTGTATTTAACATTTACTAAGTGCCTACTCAGTGCCATGCAATGGGGAAAGGAGTCACACATGACTGAAATCTGAATGTTACTCCAGGTTTGGTGGCTTACAGACCTGCCTTCACTGTCACCATTCACCTGGCTCTGCCTCTAGTCCCAAAGCGCCCTCCTGCTGACCGGAAGGAAGACTGCAGACACATTACTAGCAAGTGCTACTTGGGACCCAGATCTACCCAGGGTCGATCTTCATCCAGGGCTGCATAGAAGTATTCGTCAGGGTTCCTTGTGGAGACTTAATGGCAGTAATTACATGTATATTTTTCACAAGTGTCAGTTTAAACCCTTAATTGTAACTGCTTTCATAGAATACTAAATTATACCAACACTGGGTCTGACCTTGGCTCAGAACTCTTCCCCCCCAAAAATTGGAATTATGAACTGAGTATTAAATACCAGGAAATTCTGGTCAACTTTCCCAAGTGCAAAAATGCTACTTACAAAATATTATTTTTTTAAAGTTTAGCCAAACTTTAAAAGTTTTGTTTATTCATTTTGAGGTGGGGAGGGGCAAAGAGACAGAGAGAGAAGGAATCCCAAGCAGGCCCTGCGCTGTCACCACGGAGCCTGATGTGCAGCTTGAACCCACAAACCATGAGATCATGACCTGAAGTCAGACGCTTAACCCTAGGCCACCCAGGCACCTCCAGAACAAAGTGCTTTATTTTTAATTTTTTTAATGTTTGAGAGAGAGAGAGAGAAAGAGAGAGAGAGAGAGAGAGAGAGAGAGAGAGAGAACGAGTGGGGGAGGGCAGACAGAGAGGGAGATAAAGAGTCCGCAAAGCAGGCTCCAGGCTCTGAGCCATTAACACAGAGCCCCATGCGGGGCTCAAACTTGTGAACCAAAAGATCATGACCTGAGCTGAAGTTGACGCTCAACTGACTGAGCCACACAGGTGCCCCAATAAAGTGTTTTTAAAAGTGCAAGCTTAAGTAATTTCAATGAAGCGTCAAGCTGCTTTCAACTGCTTCCTAGCAAAAATAGAGATGAAGCAAATATTACAAACGTTATGTTACATGTAGGTGATGATAGGTGATCAATGTACGGTCTTTGAGCTTCTCTGTTTAAACTTTTCATAACAAAAAGTAGAAAAAATGTCACACCACCGGCATATCCTGTGGGCTTCAGTAATTTTGTGCTTTTTGTACGTTTGTTCCTTTTTATTGCTAAATAGTATTCTGCCATTTGGATATAGATTTTGTTTATTCATCAGTTGGTGGGCATTCAGATTGTTTCCAGGTTTGGGCTATTATGAGTAACACTGCAACCACCATTCACGTGCAGGTCTTCATGTGGGCAGCAGTGGTTCTGTAAATAAACTTAAAACATTAATGCTTGATAAGAACAGCTTGTGCTGTTCAGGCTCCATTCAGGAAGGCTGTTTTTCAAACCTTAAGTTTAATAAAGTTTAATAAAACCAGAATGACTACAATCTTCAGAAAAGTTTCTTCCAGTTAACTTAGCTTTCTGATGATGGCTTGACAACATGACATCCCTGTTTTAATGCTCAGTAGGTTTTGTTTCAGCTTTTGCAAACACAGTACAGTGAGCCTCACCATGTGTCACAGATGATTAAAGATTATGCAGGGTCTCCTAATGATTCTGTAAGACGTGGTCTGGGACCGCACTGCAGAAAACAATGTCCAGCAGAACATTAGCCAGACTGAATCTGTAACATAGCATGACATCGCTTTTACAAATAGTTCCCTGATATGTTGTTGTTCTTTTTTCCCTAGTACTTCTGATCATCTTACTACCATTCATCAGTGCCTAACTCTATGCCGGGCCCATTACATGCTTTGACATGCTCAGGCGGCTCACGGACTAATGGCACGTGGGCGGCAATGCACTGCTCCCTTGCCATATAGCACACGGGCCTAGACTGTCCCTTAGGTCTGCTTTTAGGTCTCTTCTTTCTGTGCCACTAGTTGGTGCCAAGCCACACGTGTTACTGCCTCTCTTTAAGAACAATTCTATGGGGGCGCCTGGGTGGCTCAGTTGGTTAAGGGGCCGACTTCAGCTCAGGTCATGATCTCGCGGTCCGTGAGTTCAAGCCCCGCGTCGGGCACTGTGCTGACAGCTCAGAGCCTGGAGCCTATTTCAGATTCTGTGTCTCCCTCTCTCTGACCCTCCCCCGTTCATGCTCTGTCTCTCTCTGTCTCAAAAAAAAATAAATAAACATTAAAAAAAATTTTTAAAAAAATAAAAAATAAAAACAATTCTACGGATCCAAGTAATTTGGCTTTCACAGCCTGATACCAGTACCAGTGGCATGCTACCAAATTCCTACACTAATTTCTATGAAGCAAGCTAACTACCTATGTCTACTTGCTCATCTGACCGAGATGCTAATACGATCTAACGTTTATTGGGGCATAATAGACGTCAGACACTAATTAGGCTCTTTTTAGCAATCTTCTCAAAATTATCTATAGAATACATACTATTAGCATCTACATTTTATAACCCAGAACACTGATGTGTTTCAAAGAAGGGAAGTTGCCAAGGATGAAAAGATGATTTCCTTCAAATACTAAATATCAGTGACTTATAAACTGTGTCATTTCAGAAAATGAAAGAATTTATAAAGTTTATTTTTGCCTTAGCCAGCACATATCAAACTATTTTATTTTTTTTTTAATTTTTTTTTTTTTTAACGTTTATTTATTTTTGAGACAGAGAGAGACAGAGCATGAATGGGGGAGGGTCAGAGAGAGAGGGAGACACAGAATCCAAAACAGGCTCCAGGCTCCAAGCTGGCAGCACAGAGCCCGACGCGGGGCTCGAACTCACAGACCGCGAGATCATGACCTGAGCCGAAGTCGGAGGCTTAACCGACTGAGCCACCCAGGCGCCCCAAAACTATTTTGTTTTTTAAGTAAACTCTACACCAAACATGAGGCTTGAACTCATGACCCCAAGATCAAGAATCATATGCTCTACTGACTGAGCCAATGAGGCACTCCAAATTATCTTACCTTTTAAAAGCTAACTTTGTTGGGGCCTCTGGCAAGCTCAGTCAGTAGAGCATAAGACTCTTGATCTCCGAGTCAGGAGTTCAAGTCCTACAATGGATGTGGAACCTATTTAAAACAAAACAAAACAAACTTTGTTGTCTCTCCAACCTTTTTTTGGATCATACATTCATCTGGATCCAATAAGCGCTCTTAAGAAAAATCTCCAAATTGTGAAGAAAACAGGCATATTTCCTTTCAGAAATATCAAAGCTAGAATGTTTAGCTTTTTTTTTTTTTTCTTCAGTGACCAGTATCTGTGCCGTGGCTAAACCTCATTGGCTATGATACTGCAGTACACCCAGCTAGAATGTTTAGCTATTAAAGAGATTCCCCCAACTAGCGTCACATCAAGTGACTGCACTGTAGTGGCTCCCGAAGAGGCAGGCTCCCTCCTTCCAAGTCACCCTCATCAGAGAACACCTACTGAGTAGCAAGCCAGAGGTTTGGACTGGAATGTCCCATTCAAAGACTCTTCAAAGTGTTCAAACCTTCAAGTTTGGCCTATGAAGGAAAAAAATCTTAATTTGGGAGTGAGAAAATAGTGCTTAAGGACCACTGCCTCCAAACCTACATTCTGCAACAGTCCAAGAAAAAAGGCCAAGTACCCATCTACCTCAGGGCTATGGGCTCCATGATGCTTGGCAGTTATCCTCAGGTGTAACTGCTTTCCAGCAAGCTTCTTCCTGGACTTCCAGGTTAAGCACGATGCCAATGCTGTCTCACAGTCATGACTATCCTCCTTTCTTTAAGAATTTTAAATGACGATACAGATCTGGTTTAATTCTTCCTTTTGCATTTATATTTGGGGACCCCTGTTTGGGCTTTTTTGTTTGTTTTGTTTTTTTAAGTGGGCTCCATGCCCAACATGGGGCTTGAACTCATGGCCCTGGGATCAAGAATTGTATGCTATACTGACCGAGCCAGCCAGGGGCCCCCCTTAATTCTTCCTTTCACATTGAGATAAGACTATTGCTTCCTATACCAGTTTTATACATTCTATTAGTTTTAAGAACTATAAACAGATTGAAATTATTAAACACAAAATCTTAGGAATCAAAAATAACACAGGAGCTAAAAAGATAAAATCTTAAAAAGGGGGCACCTGGCTGCATCAGTTGGTAGAGCATGCGTAAATTGATCCTGGGGTCATGAGTTAAAGTCCCATGCTGGGAGTAGAGATGACTTAAAAAATTTTTAGAAATACCACCGGGACCAAAACCGTGGTATGAGGTAGTCAACAGTGTAGCATATGAGCACATCACCCCATCTCACCCTTCTGAGAGGCAAGGTCAGGTTATCAAGGTCCACTAGTCAAGTCCGACACAGCAACCTACACCAAGTGTCTTCTGCCATACAATTTCTGTGTAAGTCAGCTCCAGAGACCGGGACAATGGTGCTGGGCTGGGGTGTCGTGCCCTCAGCAGCAGAATGGTATCTGGAGATTAATACTGAAAGCTGCGCTTGGTCTGGATATCATCAAGAATCTGCTGCAGCTCCTCATCTTCAAACCGCCCCTCCAGGCTACGAGAAGAAAACCAAAAGAACTAAGTGTCTCAGCGACTGACAATGTTCCCGATCTCTTTTTAACACACTGATCTTTGAGCACCGCTGTGCCCACTTCTCCATTTTCTTCTAAATGCTGACACCTTTACCCTTTCAGCTGTACTTCCTGCATGTCATTCCTTTTAGAAACATTATGAAGTGTTTCAAAGATTTAAAAAAGTATAGAAAATAAGGTAACCTTAATAGTTACTCCTACTTGATTTACATTTCTTTGATAAACACAACAGAACAAATTAATGAATGGCTCTGTGTATGCTCCCTATCAAAATACCTTCCCCAGAATTAGCCATTATGCTAAATTTGGTATTTATCATTTCTATACTTATTTTATACCTATTATCTATCTCTCTCAAGTCATATGCAGCACTGTTTTTACACTTTATAAGAAATGGCATCATTCTGTATATATCCTTCTACAATTTTCTTCACTCCAAATTCATTTTGGTATTTGATGTTATTCCAGTTCATTAATTTTTTCATTGCTATATAAATGATTTTTTTATTCATGCCCATGTTTGACAGATTATCAAGTTCTGTTACCACGAACAATGCAGTAATGAACACTAGAATACATGCCTTCTTATGAACTGTATGAGCTGCTTTCAGGGCATGTACCCAGGAATGGTTTTTGGGTCAGTGTATAATCATCTTTAACTTTACTAGATGTAGCTAAATTGTTCTCCAAAGTGAGTGACTGTACTAATTTGCACTCCTACCATCAGTGTATGAAAGATTCAGCTGTTCCACATTTTTGCTAAGAGTTGGTGTGCTATAAAACCATCATTTTCATACCCTGTTAAAAAAGGCACTCCATTCAATGCTGATGATATCAGTCCATATTTTAAATGCACACACCATTTAGACACACTAATTCTACTTGTAGGAATCTATCCAACATACAGAACTCAGCACAGCCGGTACTAACCTTGGGATCAGAGCCTTCGACTCCTCAGCAGTCTCTGGGCAAAGGTTGGCCAAACAGGCCAACTCAAACTTATGAAGCTTCTTCTGGAGCAACAAGCTGATCACGGAGTAGAGAATCAAAACAAACAAAAATCAAAGAATGATAACTAGGAAAAAGAGAACCCAAAGGTACTTAGCAAGAAAGGTAAGCAAGCAAAGCACTTGCAATCTTTCATATAGTTTGCTTGGCTGCCAAATCACACTTTCAGATCATTTCCTGTTCTGTTCCTGGAGAACAGGAAATTACAGTGAAATCAGACAGAGGCCACAAAAGTGAGCAGAGCACACAGGGCAAGAGAAGCCCTGTCATTTTAACTTTTGAAAAACCACCATATACACCTTAAGGACTACACAACCTTTTCCTCAGGAATTTATTTTGTTGTTCTCTCCTCCCTTGTTTGGATATTGTGACAAGGAGGAAATTCTCTTTTAAACTTATCTACAAAATAAATATAGGCAAACCTTACTTTGTACAAATATGTGTGCAAACAGCATCTTATTTTAAATGCACAGTTCTAATTCAAATTGTATAAAACACTGTCAAATCCTATCTTGGTTTTTCACACATATAGCTCTTAAAAAGAGAGCTCATCCATGGTGGATTTGGTTTCAGAGAACACCTTAAACATCTGTTCGGAAACAAAACATTTACTGTGCGTATCATTCTATTACAAGCATATTAGTTATCACACAGAATTTAGAAAATACATGACAGATAAATAAAAGCTACCCATATCACTACCTAAACAAAATCAATGTTATTATCTTAGCGTATCATTCCAAACACTTTTCTGTTTTAGAATATTCACTCATACATTCATCACTTTTTGTCACTTAAAAAGCTATATCCATTTTCTAAAGAAAATATTGTAAACTTAGTTATTTGGGAAGAGGTTTCTAAAGAAGTGTAGTGTAGGTATGTGTGTGGAGGGGTTTGTTGTAAAATGAACATATACTCATAAACAATACAAAAGATATCAAAAAGGTGAAGATAACCTGAAATCCTACCCAGAAATAACTAGTATTAACTTTTCCATGGAGATCACCTTCCCCTCCTCTGTAATTTCTTTTTTAAAACAAATGAGTCATGGGGCGCCTGGGTGGCGCAGTCGGTTGAGCGTCCGACTTCAGCCAGGTCACGATCTCGCGGTCCGGGAGTTCGAGCCCCGCGTCAGGCTCTGGGCTGATGGCTCAGAGCCTGGAGCCTGTTTCCGATTCTGTGTCTCCCTCTCTCTCTGCCCCTCCCCCGTTCATGCTCTGTCTCTCTCTGTCCCAAAAATAAATAAACGTTGAAAAAAAAAAAATTTTAAAACAAATGAGTCATAACAAATGTCATTCTGTGATTGGCCTTTTTCCAATCAACAACACAGCTGTTTTCCTATTAGTATACACATAACAGCACCCTGAACGTGGCACTCCACTAAAAGGCTGTGCCATAATTTATATATCAAATTTCCTGCTGTTGAACATTTCAACTGTTTCAATTACTCATTTTAAGTAACGCTTTTTGAACATTATGTGTACTTCTTTGTGTATTTGATCGATTACTGTGTGATTTAGTTTTGATTACTGTGTATTTTTTTTAAAGGTTTAATTTTTAAGTTCTATGCCCAACATGGGGCTTGAACTTACAACCCTGACATAGAAGGTTGGCTGCTCCACCAACTGAGCCAGCCAAGTGCCCCAATTACTGTGTGTTTTAAAGATAAATTCCTGGAAGTCAAATTATCCAGAGGATATGAATGTCTTTATTTTAAGTTTATTTATTTTGAGAGAGAGAGGGAGGGAGGGTGAAAGGGATAGAGAGAGAGAACAAGCAGGGGAGGGGCAGAGAGAGAAGGGAACAGAAGATCCGAGAAGTGGGTTCTACGCTGACAGCAGAGAGCCCAGTATGGGGCTTGAACTCAGGAACTGCGAGATCGTGACCTGAGCCAAATTCAAGAGTCAGACGCTTAGCCGAGTCACCCAGGAGCCCCTTTTTCTAATCTTTTCAAATCTACTTAGCTCTTTTACCATTTTTTGATTTCCTTGAAGATAAGCATAATTTCATGTGAATTAGCTAGCCATTTAAAGTTCTGATTCAAATCAAGCCTCTAATTGAAGACGGTGTCCATTTTCAAAAACTGGTGTCACCTCTTAATTATTTGCTGGGAGTTTTCGATATTAAGAGAATATTAAGGATACCAATTCTTTCCCTGTTTATACTTATATTTTGCATACGGCATTTTATTTGATGTAGGGGAGTTTAAAGATATTTATACAAATTCTTTTGTTTATTCAGTATTTATTTAGTGCCCACAATGAGTCTGACAGTGATGAATATGACCAAGTTCCTGCCCTCACAAAGCTTATATTCAACTGAAATCACTCAAGTTTCCCCACATTTAAAGTCCTACTAACCACAGCCAAAATAATACATATATTCACTCACATTGTCACATAACACTTTTATTCGCCATGGTTTATATTCCAATCCTTAATTCCTGAGGAATTAAATTCGGTGTAAGATACAGTGTTCAGGGGTGCCTGGGTGGCTCAGTCAGTTAAGTGTCCAACTCTTGGTTTCGGCTCAGGTCACGATCTCACAGTTTGTGAGTTTGAGCCCTGAGACAGGCTGTGTGCTGACAGGGCAGAGGCTGCCTGGCAATCTCTCTCTCCCTCTCTTCTCTGCCCCTCCCACACTCTCTCTCAAAATAAATAAATAAACCTTAAAAAAGGGGGAGGGGGTATGTGCCTGGGTGGCTCATTCAGTTAAATGTCTGACTCTTGGTATCAGCTTGGGTCATGATCTCAGTTTGAGGGACAGAGCCCCATGTCAGGCTCTGTGCTGATAGCATAGGGCCTGCTAAGGAATCTCTCTCTGCCCCTCCCCAACTCAAAATAAATAAACTTTAAAAATGTGATACAGTGTTCAAACTTTGTTTTAAAGTATTTCCCCACTAACCTACAATGCCATATACTGGACTCACACAAAATATGATAGAATTATATTTGAATTTGTTGTCATTTACGACAAATTCTTCTTCATTTTTCTTAGAAAATTTTTTCTGACAATTCTTACAATATTAAGATCATTTTATTAGCCCCCCCCGCCCCCTCCATTTCCTTGAGGTTGCAGAATGGCACTAAATATATACAGTAATTTGGGGAGAACCAACATGTTTACAATCCTGAGACCATTTATTCACAAAGGTATAAGCCTACCTTCATCTACTCAGGTCACCTCACAGGCCCAACACTGCACACTCCCCTCCCATCTTTCCTCAGTGTGTACACCCACACCTTCTAGAACAGACTGTATACTTCAGATACAATTTTATCACCTTCATTTTCTGCACACTTAACATGTCAACATCTTTCATTTGCTACAATTTTTTTTAAATTTTTTTTTAACCTTTATTTATTTTTGAGACAGAGAGAGACAGAGCATGAATGGGGGAGGGTCAGAGAGAGGGAGACACAGAATCCGAAACAGGCTCCAGGCTCTGAGCTGTCAGCACAGAGCCCGATGCGGGGCTCGAACTCATGGACTGCGAGATCACGACCTGAGCCGAAATCAGACACTTAACCGACTGAACCACCCAGGTGCCCCGCTACCACAATTTTAATAACAATATAGTAGTTCACCAAATGATTTACTACTTTATTTATTTAATTACTATTGAATGTTTAGGTTGCTCTTCTTTTTTTTCTTTTTATCATTGGCTATTAGAAATATCTCCCTGAAAAGCATGTGTATATACATCTTTTTTGTACACTTGCTTTTCCTAAGGACAGTACTTCTCAAACATTTTCTCTGGAACAGAGCAAACAAGTACCCCTAGGCAACCTGGGCGCATGGGCTCAAATGACTTTCTGCATCTACAAGTAGGGTTTTAAGTCTTGTAATTTAATTCAAGAATTTATACACAGTTTTTGTTTTACTCCACAGTATGCTGGTATCTGTTTGTTTTAATGTAGAAATGTTTTAAAATCACCCACCATTAAATTAAACTGCTACTTGAGGAAGATGTTTCTCCTGTGGCCTGTTATATGCCCCAGAGCATCACTGTTTCCCAGGTTACATCCAACTCAATTTGAGAAGCAATGCCTTGGGAAAAAATGCTAAAATCCACCTTCTGAAAGGTACAGCTCCTGATTTATATTTACAAACATATAAAGATCTTGAGGGGAGCCTGCGTGGCTCAGGTCATGATCCCGTGGATCATGGGCTTGAGCCCTGCGTCTGGCCCTGTGCTGACAGCTGGAGCCTGGAGCCTGCTTCAGATTCCGTGTCTCACTCTTTCTCTCTCCCCCTCCCCCTCATGCTCTGTCTCTTTCTCTCAAAAATAAATAAACATTAAAAACAATTAAAATTAAAATACAAAAAAAAAGATCTTGAAGACATTTCAGGTGAATAATAAATAAATAAGCCCATTTTATTAAAACAACCACCATCACAAATCACTTGTGTGTTGTTTATAGGTGTATATATGTATGTGAATGCATGGAAAAGATCTGGAAGAGTAACAACAAACTGCCAATAGTGGTTACTGTACAGGATGACCACGGGGATTTCAGGTACCGGAAAAGGTGATCAAAGAGCATTTTGGTGATCAAAGAGCCGTTTTTAAATTTCTGACAAAGACATTATTTTTCTTACATTCATGGTATAGATGATGCCCATTGGGTGCTGGTGCTGGTGGTGCTGGAGGCAAAAGTATTTTACGCTCAGACATCCACGAATTTGGATTAATAAAAACTTTCCTTTAGCACTCACCTGCGGACACTGGCAATAGTCTCTCTGTTTTTGAAACGACTGAAACGGGCTGTGTAATTTAAAGTTTTCATGAAGACCTCAGAAAGTTCCTGTTCATCCTCTGCACTCTCATTCTGTTGCTTTCGATGCTCCAGAAGCATGTGAACTTCTGAATTTAGTAGTGTCTCCGCTGTTTCAAACTCTATTTGTGAGAAGCACAAATGTCAGCTGAAAATATTCCTTCAAAAGACAGCTTCTAAATGTTCATTTTGCTTTCGAGATTAACAGCAAGTTTGCGTCCCTGCATAAATCCAGAGGCCTCATATCCCACAGCTTCACCTTCAGCCAGACCTGCCTACCACAAGGCACAGAAGAATTCATGAGACTAAAATTTAGTTCAGTGGGGCCAGACAGTTTCTAACATCAAAGAACCTGACCTGGACGTGCTATTAAATAATGACACGTCATTATCCTAATTAGGCCAGTTACTGATTCCAAAAGGGAGCCAACAATTATAACCAACAATTATTTCTCTTTAGCTTGCATGAGCTCCTAATGTAGTTCCATAATACTAATACTATACCCTCAATTTTAATAATTATTACACATTAGGGAGGGCCAAGGGTTTGGAAACACACAATAATGCACCCCCAATTCTATTTTAGTAGTTGAATGAATCTATTATCTACTCATTCACCCAGATCACGTACTTGGCATTGGGCCTGAGGCCAGAAGTCCCTACTCCCTACCTTCCAGGTTTCATAGTCTTATGTAGTTTACCAACTAAACCTATTTCAAATATTTACCATCACACAAATCTCCTGCCCTTGATACCTATTTATTTTTTTAGTTTCAAGTTTCTTAAGTTCTAGTGAGTTAACATACAGTGTAATACTAGTTTCAAGTATATAATTTAGGGATTCATCACTTATACATGACACCCAGTGCTCATTACAAGTGCCCTCCTTAATACCCATCACCCATTTAACTCATCCCCCCGGTCCCACTTCCCCTCCAGCAACCTTGTTTTTTTTTCCTGTAAAGAGTCTGTTTTCTGATTTGCCCCTCTTTTTTTCTTTTCCCCTATGTACATCTGTTTTGTTTCTTAAATTCCACATGAGTGAAATCAGTGTCTTTCTCTTATGGCACTTAGCATTATACTCTCTAGCTCCATCCATGTCATTGTAAATAGCCAAGATTTCATTCTTTTTATGGCTGAGTAATATTCCACTGAGTGTGTACGAGTGTGTATGCACACATATATATTATATATATATGCACATGCCACATTTTTATCTATTCATCATGTGATGGACATTTGGGCTCGCTCATTTAAAATAATCCTCAGTCAGGGCGCCTGGGTGGCTCAGTCTGCTGAGCATTTGACTTAGGCTCAGGTCATGATCTCATGGCTCATGAGTTCGAGCCCCACGTTGGGCTCTGTGCTGACAGCTCAGAGCCTGGAGCCTGCTTCAGATTCTGTGTCTCCCTCTCTCTCTGCCCCTCCCCCACTCATACCATGTCTCTGTCTCTCAAAAATAAATAAACATTTAAAAAAATTTTTTTAGGGGCGCCTGGGTGGCGCAGTCGGTTAAGCGTCCGACTTCAGCCAGGTCACGATCTCACGGTCCGTGAGTTCGAGCCCCGCGTCAGGCTCTGGGCTGATGGCTAAGAGCCTGGAGCCTGTTTCCGATTCTGTGTCTCCCTCTGTCTCTCTCTGTCCCCCAAAAAATAAATAAAACGTTGAAAAAAAAATTTTTTTTTTTTAAATTTTTTTTAAATAATCCTGTCGGTTGAGCATTTGACTTTGGCTCAGGTTATATATAATCTCACGGTTCATGAGTTCAAGCCTTGCATGGGGCTCACTGGTATCAGCCTGACAGCGCAGAGCCTGCTTCAGACCCTCTGTCCCCTCTCTCTCTGCCCTTGCCACACTTGCTCTCAAAAATAAAAAATAAACATTAAAAAAAATCCTCTTGGAGCACGTGGGTAGCACAATCAGTTAAATGTACAACTCTAGATTTTGGCTCAGGTCATAATCTCAAGGTTTGTGAGTTCAAGTCCCACAATGGAGTCTACACTGGCAGCATGGAGCCTGCTTGGGATTCTTTCTCTCTGCCCTTCCCCTGCTTGTGCCCTCTTTCTGAAAACAATCTTAAAAAAAATTATAATAATCCTCATGAACAGTAAGAATACCAGTAAGCAGTCTTTAAAAACTAGTTTTAAAAGAAATAAATAAAAAAACTAGGTTTTTCCATAATATATGGCGAACTTTCCCTATATTTTCAGAATAACATTATCTCCTTGGGAAACCAGTGTCTCCCTTGCGTCCCACAGGAACATACATTCCTAATAATTATTATAAAGTATTAGAGCTGGTTTCTGCCTTTTCTTTATCAGGGAGTTCCTCCAGAGTAGGAACCATTCATAAACATGGATTCATGTTTCTAATCCCACACTGATGAAGACTAATGAGGAAAACCCAAAATTACGTGCAATTTAGCATTTCCATGGGATCTGGGTATGTTTACTCTCGGGAAATCACTAATACCACTATCAGAGGGGTGGCCCCCCTCTCTCGGGCCAGGTGACCAGAGCTCCACTCTGCTTCCACAACAGTCTGTGCTGGGGGAGGGTGGCAGCAGGAGGAAACAGTATTTTTACTTGCAAGGTTCTCATTACTTCTGAATCTAAAAGGCACCAAAAAGCTATTTTCTACTCGAGGTCAGCAGAATTTGAACAAGAGGAACTCAGAGCCAATTCCAGCCCAGGTCACTGCCTGTTACTCACTGGTGAAGTGATGTACAAGTGAAGAAACTACTGCTTTCAAAGCAATGAGCTGAGAAAGCAGTAAATATTAGGAGCGTAGGACTCCACATCTCTGAAGTGACAGTCACAAGTGACATAAGAGAAAAAAAAGCAGCAGCAGCTAAAAAGTGGGTTAATCTCAACTTCTGAGGCTGCTGCATTGATACAGACTCAGAAAATGGAAATCAGGGGCATCTGGGTGGCTCAGTTAGTTAACCATCTGACTCTTGGTTTCAGCTCAGGTCATGATCTCATGGTTTCTAAGTTCCAGTCCATGCTGACACTGCAGAGCCTGTTTGGGATTCTCTCATTCCCTCTCTCTGCGCCTCCCCCACTTGTGGGCAAGCTCTCTCAAAATAAACAAACTTAAAGAAAAAAAAAGAAAATGGAAACCAATAGGCTAAACAAGAATTACTAGTAAGAATCATCTCCATGTTTGTTACAGCTATTGCTGCTTTTAAGGCTCCTGGAAAATTGGCCAAGTAAGATATGCCTCCCTTTCCATACCAAGCAAAATTTACCTGTTAAATGTAACAGAACAGAACTGTCAGAACACCAGGAAGTCACCTGTTCCTATTCTTTACTGAGGGTAATGTCCAAGTACTATTTATACATCACTTTCACTCCTTTCAAACAATGAAAGGTCAAAGCAGCCAAACTATGCATGTTACTCTTCCTCTGTACTGATCTTTTAAGAACCATAGCCACAATTTATTAATCCAAATTATTTATCAATTCATCCAAATTATTTATCAATTCCTTCCTATAAGAAGGAAAAATATTCCTTGACCAGTACCTCAACTGGGAATTTTTTTATTAAAAAAAAAAAATTAATGTATGTTTATTCTTGAGAGAGAGCGAGAGAGAGGGAGTGCGCACGCGTGCACAAGCAGGGTAGGGGCAGAGAGGGAGATACAGAATCCGAAGCAGGCTCCAGGCTCTGAGCTGTCAGCACAGAGCCTGATGCAGGACTCGAACTCACAAACCATGATATCATGACCTGAGCTGAAGCTGGACACTTAACTGAGCCACCCAGGGGCCCCTCCACTGGGAATTTTGAGGACGCTTCATTACAAACATTATGATAAAGGTAGCAATTTCAGATGGTCTTCTACTACAAAATTTTCTCTCTAGTACAAAATATTCTAGCGGATTCCTTTAATTGAGGAAGGGAGGGAGGGACTGGGATCATACAAACATTTTTGGAAAAAATGGCTTACTTACTAGTTTTTTCAGTAGAATTGCTGTTAATTATATCACATGGATAAAGGACAAATTGTATTTTCAGGCAAACATGCTGTGAAAACTACCACTACAAACTCTCAGATGCTTTCAGTTGCCTCATGCATTCTTTCTGTCCTACAATGAATTAGCACGCATTTGTTTGCTTGCTATCTACAGCAAAGGCTTTCCTTAACTTTTAAGTACTTACTGTTGTTTCTATATATCTTCACATTTTTTTTTTAAGTCAAGTCTACCCCCAAAATAGGGCTTGAATTCACAACCCCCGACATAGAGTCAAATGTTCTACTGGCTGAGCAAACCAGGTGCCCGCATCTTCACATGTTCTAAACTACGTAATAAACACTGTGTCCACCCCCCCCAAATATGAGCTGAGAAGTTAAAGATAAGAGATATTCAGAACTCTGACATACCATTACTTGACAGAATCTAAGATCTAATTATACCAAATTCAGTAAAATTTTCATGTGTACCAGATGCTACTTGCCTTTATCAAAACAAATATTTTCAGAGTGTAAAAAATAAAAAGTACCTAGATAAAACCCAAGTACAAGTACAATAAGCTTTATCATACTTTAAGAAAGCATCTCTGTATCAGTTATTACACTTACACACACACACACACACACACACACACACACACACACACACTTCTATTCTGCCAAAAACTTCTATGAAGCTATCCTATGGAAATTTGACCTTGAGCCTATGAAATAAAAAACTGGAAGCCACCTATATGCTTATCAACAGATAAATAGTATTATGGTAAACCACTAAGTATATCCGGCCCTTTAAGAGAATAAGACAGGAGTGCCTGGCTGTCTGAGTCAGCAGACCAAGCAACTCTTGACCTCCAGGCCATGAGTTCAAGCCCCACGATGGGCCTGGATTTTAAAAACAAAACAAAAACAAAAAAGTTCTACACAATATATTGTCAAAAAATTTCTTTATTAAAAGAAATTTTTTTTTAATGTCTATTTATTTTTGAAAGAGAGAGACAGAGCACGAGCGGGGGAGGAGCAGAGAGAGAGGGAGACACAGAACCTGAAGCAGGCTCCAGGCTCTGAGCTGTCAGCACAGAGCCTGACTTGGGGCTGGAACTCATGAACTGTGAGATCATGACCTGAACCGAAGTCGGACGCTTAACTGACTGGGTCACCTAGGCACCCCTACCGTCAAAATTTTTAAAGGCTGTAACACTTCTTTTGTATAATCTCATTTTTACAAAGAAAAATAGTGTATGTATATATTAATAAATATAAAATTAGTCTGGAAGGATAAGCACTAAATTGTTTACAGTAGTTTCCTCTGGGTGAAAAGGGTGTAGAGTTTCAGTTTTTATCGTGGATATAACAATTTTAAAATTATTGGGTAATTTTAAGGTTATTGTTAAGGTGGATACTGTGAAGATTTAGTTTGCATTTTCCACTATCTGTAAAATATGGTTATTTTAAAATCTTAAGCTTCTTGCCTATTTTTGGCTTCTAAATTACAAATAAAGTACATCAGCTAACATTAACAACTCAGGCAACAGATGTTGGCGACAATGTGGAGAAAGAGGATCTCTTTTGCACAGCTCATGGGAATGCAAACTGGTGCAGCCACTCTGGACAACAGTATGGAGGTTCTACAAAAAATTAAAAATAGAACTACCCTACGACCCAGCAATTGCACTACTAGGTATTTATCCAAGGGATACAGGTGTGCTGTTCCGAAGGGACACATGCACCCCGATGTTTATAGCAGCACTATCAACAATAGCCAAAGTATGGAAAGAGCCCAAACGTCCATCAGCAGATGAATGGATAAAGAAGATGTGGTATATGTATACAATGGGGTATTACTCGGCAATCTAAACCAATGAAATCTTGCCATTTGCAACTACGTGGATGGAACTGGAGGTATCATGCTAAGCGAAATTAGTCAAAGACAAAAATCATATGACTTCACTCATATGAGGACTTTAAGACACAAAACAGATGAACACAAGGGAAGGGAAGCAAAAATAACATAAAAACAGGGAGGGGGACAAAACACAAGAGACTCTTAAATATGGAGAACAAACAGAGGGTTACTGGAGGGGTTGTGGGAGGGGGAATGGGCTAAATGGGTAAGAGGCATTAAGGATTCTACTCCTGAAATCATTGTTGCACTATAACCTAACTAACTTGGATGTAAATTAAAAAACTAAAGTTAAAAAAAAAAGGGGGGGTGATTACAAATAAAATACATCACACTGCACAAAGGAAGTTCCCTGACAGTAAAATGTGCTGTACTTGTAGGTAGTCCTCTGACAAAGGCTCTCCTTGACCCAAACTCTAGCCAGGCTCCTGAGTCCTCCTTTTGGGACTCAACCTTGGCCCAGAAAGACTTTAACAAAACACTAACATAATTCTAACAGCTCAAGGCCATGTTCCTAGGATGACCCTAGCCCTTTTAAAGCTCCTGCCTCTGAAAACCAAGTCTGCCCAAGAAATTTACTGTTTGTCCCAGCCAACACCTGAAGGTAGGGCCTCCGTCAGTTCACAGTAAGAGCTGTGGGAGAGGAGAAGTCTAACTCTTGCAAGCGCCAGTTAACAAAACCAAATGGGTTTCAAATCGACCAACCCCCCTTCCCGGTTTTTGTAATTTTTCACTTCCCTGATCCTATGGAGACCCCACTCACCTCCTCCCCATTTCTTTATTCTGCCTATAAAAGGCCCAGTCACTCTGCACACATCGGAAGTTCAGTCCACGCTAGTCTCTTTTTCCTTTTGCAACCTTACATTACCTTTTTTTTTTTAATAGGCTCCTTGCCCAATGTGGGGCTTGAACGCATGACCCTGAGATCAAGAGTCGCATGCTCTACTGGCTGAGCCAGCCAAGCGCCCTTGGAATGGCACATTAATGATTAATGATGATGTCCTTACCACTTTAACTAGTGTCGCTTTGTTCATCCTTGCCACATTCCTGCAGCACTTCGCAGTTTATCGGGTAAATTACTTAAACGAGTAGCAAGAGGCTGCTCAGGGGTGGCGTGGAGCGGGGCGCCCACGGTTCCAAGGCAGCAGGCGTGGAATCCGACTGGCCCCTCTAGAGGTACAGTGGCCGTGCGGGCCCAGGCCCCTCCCACGGCCGCATCCCCCATCCTCCCTGCCAGTCTCCTAGCCGGGAACCCGCCCAGCTGTCCGCCTCGGGCGAGGCACGGGGCGACGCCAGGTTTGCGGCGACCACGCGGGACAGCGGGGGCAATCGCGCAGCCCCAGCCCCACCTTTGGGAAAGATAAGCTGTGAGGCATCCTCCTCCACGTCGCCGGCCCGCGGATCGCTACCTCCGGCCGCCATCGCCACGAAACGCCACACCACGCCGCGCGTCCCACTCACACCGCCGGAAGCGGAAGCGCGGGTCCCGGCCACGGAAGGGGCGTGGTCGCAGAGGATGGGGTGGGCTTCCACCCGGAAGCTGGTGGGGGTGGCGCGGCTCTCTGGGATGCCCAGGCGGACAAGGGCGACGGAGTCCCGGAGCTTTTTGGGGAGCCGAGGGTCCCTTTGTCGCGCGTCCTCGGACTGGTCAACTGACCTTTCTGAGCCTCAGCTTCCTCGCCTGTCGTAAGGCCTGCTTCCTAGAGCCGGAGGAAGGATTAGATGAAACGCGGGAACCCTAGGAACTCCTCTTGATGGAAAGCTGGGTTAGTGACGCCGAAAACACAGTGGAATTTCTTTGAACGCTTAAGTATTTTAAAAAATGTGATCGATTTGTAGTGAATTATTCTGATACTTCTGAGCACGTGGGAAGTGATACTGAGAGACCTTTAATACATCTGTTGGAACGTTTGGATGATACACAGAAATGTAAGCAAATAAAAAACGATGCTGTTTTCGGCTTGAGAGAAAATAGAAGATTGTACAACAAAGGAAGGAATTAGTGCATTATTTGTCTCTGTGGTGAACAGTGTTTAGTTGTCCTTTAAACTGTGTTTACAAATGATGAATTAAGGGGCGCCTTGGGTGGCTCAGTCGGTTAAGCCTAAGACTTCACAGGTCATGAACTCCCAGTTCATGGGTTCCAGCCCCACATCTGGCTCTCTGCTGTCAGAGCAGAGCCTGCTTGGGACCCTCTGTCCCCCTCTCTCTCTTCCCCTCCCCTGATCACACGTGCTCTCTCTCTCACACACAAAAATAAATCAACATTAAAAATATATATATTACTTGACAATATGTAATCTGTGTTCTTTTGATTTATAAATATAGTAATTTTTACAAAATGAATTTGCTGTATATCTGTATTTCCAGAAGAAAATTACTGGGTAAAATAATAGTAGGTTACATAGCATAGGCAGACTGTTTGAAAATGTTTTCCTACATGGTTCATTGGATGCGCAGGTCAAATGTCCTGATGAGGAGTCTGAGGACATGCAGCAGCTGGGTGTGGGAAATGGGCCTGGAACTCAGTATAGGCCTTTTTCTTCCATCTGTCCAACCAACAGGCCATTAAGAGCACCAAATACCTACTGGACCTTACCATGTGCTGACCCAACATCAAGCTGGATACCCAACACTTGGTATCTTCTATATACACACAGCAGGAAAGAAGTGAACAGGTGAAGAAAGTAAGGAGAGAATTAATGCACACTGTGATGTTTGCAAGGTGGATGGTCTACAACATTTTCATTCAGGAAACATTTATAAACACTCATGTGGAAAGCCCTGGGGTTAAAAAGATGATTCAGTCATAAATATGTCCCCACAAGATGACCAAAAGCAGCTGATGCAAAATCTGGACTTATTTTCCATAATAAAAGACAGAAAATGACAAGTGGTCAGAGAAAAGAAAGTGAAAGAAAATGCTATAGAAAGATTCATAGTGCGGCGCCTGGGTGGCTCAGTCGGTTAGGCGTCTGACTTCAGCTCAGGTCATGATCTCACAGTCTGTGAGTTCAAGCCCCGCATCCGACTCTGTGCTGACAGCTAAGAGTCTGGAGGCTGCTTCAGATTTTGTGTCTCCCTCGCTCTCTGCCCCTCCCCTGCTCATGCTCTGTCTTTGTCTCAAAAATAAAAACATTAAAAAAAATTTTTTTTTTAAGATACATAGAGAAAAAAGTTACTTGTGGTTGGGGGTAGGTGAGTCACAAGAGATCTGAGGAGCAGGGGTGGGCACTGGAACTGTTCTTTAACATTTAGTCAAAACAGATGGGGGGTAGTAACATGAATGAAATTATCAGGTACATAAGAGGAATATTCACTCTGAGGTAAATTCATATTTCAATTTCCTTAAATGTCATTTTCATCATATAATTCTTGGGAAATGAAGGAAAACACTAATTATACAGAACTTACGCAAACACGTTTGCTGTAATACATATTTTATTAATGTTGCTCTACATTTTTTTCAACCAAAATAGTAATTTATAACTTTTGTAACCTTTTGGTCTGCTTCTCAAAGAATCTCTTGTAGACTGAATCACTAATGTCTTTCCTGGACCCAGGTATTCTGCCATTAATATAGTATGCTGATATGTTTCCCACTTCTCCCTATATTCAAAGTTAATGTTAAGAATCTCCCAATTTCATCTATTCTCTCAAAAATTAAAAAAAAAAAAATCTTGGCACCCCCTGCTGGAAGTCGCCTGGTAAGTGTACAAAGGAAACCAAAGGAATAAACACGTGACCCCCTCCCTTTCACTATTAATACAATCTCTAGAGATACAACGGAATGGGGATGTGGGGAGGTTATGTAACTGTGCAAACCACCCTTGCCTTCCAGGTACAACAACTTCCTGGAGGCTGCCCTGAAGAGTCCCACTCTTGGATTCTAAAGCCCGTCTGGGCAGTGTGTCCTGTGTTGGAACTGTTAAGACTCTCTCTGAAAAGCTCTCTTGAGGGCTTGAGGTCAAGCTGGGCTTACTTCAGCACCCACCCCTTTCAGAAAGCCTGTCCTGACCTGAAGGTCTGAGCATAGTTATGCTTCCTCCTCCCACATGTCCAGAGTAGCTTAGCGGTCCCAGAGGTTTTGATACTTGCCCAGTGGTCCCCATCTACATCTGACATTGGATGACAGTCCAGATAGTCATCCAGCCATTGCAACAGTACACTGGGGCCTGGGCAAAGCCTTCCTGGCAGGTTACCTTGGAGGTTCACAGCCCTGTCACAAAGCAGAACATTTGGCTCAGAGTAGTAACTAGCTGTCTGGCTCATAAATGGCAGAACCAAGATTTGAGCTCAGGCCTAGCAGACTGCCAGCCTAAAGATTCCAGTATCAGCATCCTTGGTTACTTATTTGGTCAGAAACCAGGGTGGGATCAAAGAAGGAATGGCCATACTGGGGGTGGCAGGTGGGAGGCTGGATTCGCAGCAGGAACCTGAGTGGCTGACAGGATGAATTTGAAACCTCTCTCTGCTGTTTGGTTCCCCTAGCAATAGGTACAGTCTTGAAACTGGAGGGGTCACTTATTTTTTAATTTGCTCTAGCATACAGAACCTCATGGAAACAAAGTAAGCAGAGGGAAGAGATCCTAAAATCCTTGTCAGAGCTTCATTTCAGAATGAGGAAAACACTCAGAAGAGACAGCACTTGCATTACATTCCTCAGGACACTACTATGGTTCTTTGTGCCGTGTTGGTTCAGAGTCAAGTCCTTCAAGTATCTCAAAGCCAGGTCTTCAATCGAGGTCAGACCCAGAGTGATCTGGAAGAAGCTTTAGAGCACTTACCCCACCTCCACTCCCACAAGAAATAGCCCTGCCGATCTCTGATCAGGTGGCTTAGTTCACATTTCAAGACTATAGGGACAGCTAAAATAGCAAATGTTGGGTTATGCACGTTTAACTACCACCACCTACCACCCACCCCCCAATCCCAAAAACCCACAACGATGTGGCATCCCATGCTGTTTAACTGCAGGCGATAGTATAACACACAGCAATTTCTAGAACCAGAATTTCTCTTTAAGAAACAGAGAATCCCTTTCACACCCTGCAGTGTTACTACCAATTTCTGTGTTTAACCAGTTGCTTGTAGTCTATTTCCAAATTATCCAGCCCTGACAGCACGTTATACCTGTAGCCACAGGCTTATGAGTTCTGCTAAGGGTAAGGGCCGCAGAACTGGGTATCTTAAAAACAAAACAAACAAAAAACCATCCTTGCAAATAAAGATTTAAACTTAAGACAGACAGTCCAAACACACGTGTATTTGTATGTTTGAAAAACTGTTCTGGGCCATTTTCTTCAAACACTTCGCCTCTTTTCTGGGCCGTCCAAAAGTAATGAATGTTTCCCTTTAAGGTTAGACAACACCAAGAGGCACCTGGGTGACTCAGTTAAGCATTCAACTCTTGGTTTTGGCTCAGGTCACGACCTCAGAGCCCCACGTCAGACTCCATGCTGACAATGTGGAGCCTGCTTGGGGTTCTCTTGCTTTTCCTCTCTGCCCCTCACTGGTTCATGCTCTCTCAAGATAAACAAACTTAAAAACAAACAAACAAACACAACATCGTTAGACCACACCAATATGTCCCAGGGCTTTTGCTTGGATTAAGGTCACCCAATGATAGCTTCAGTTAGAGCATTACTGCCCTGACCCCTTGCTTTTAGCTTTTTTGATAATATCAGTTATAAAAGAAAATCTGATGAAAACTATGAACCTTCTTTCTAGAAAAATCCAAATTTTAAAGGGTTCATGAACCTCAGTTCAGGAAATTTGGTTCTAAAAAGCCAGTGGCACTGCTACCAGCCTCACAAAAAAATGCAAGTGTAAATAAAAAAATACAATGAGGATCATGATGGACACCATGCAACCATGCTGGCTGACTGAACACCATCTGCTGGCTCAGTCCAAAGAATGTGTGAATCTTGGTCTCGGGATGGTGAGTTGGGGCTCCATGTTGGTTGCAGAAATTACTTAAATACACTAATAAACTTAAAAAGATGAATGTTACTACTATTCTAAAAAAAAAAAAGGCAGGACAAAGAACAGTTTTTACCCATTATGATTTATTCTCTACAATACTTCGTTAAAGAGTTCAATGATTTGCACTCAGAAGTTATATAGCCAAGAGGCAACCAAGTGTAATACAAAGAATTGGTCTGAAGTCTTTGCACTGAAGGCCATACAAAGTCTCTTGCTTCAGGGAAGTTAAGAATCAAAATAAACAAAACGAACACATAGCTCCCTAGGCTCCAGAATCTCGATAGAAAAGAGCATCAACAGTTAGTGAAAGTGTAGGTGTTAACACATCATGGAAAACAGGTCTTGTGCAAATATTAAAATTAACACCCAGGACTTCTGTATAGATGATTTTTATTATAAACAATAAAATATATGTAATGTCTCAACTACAAACCTTTCATGTTGAAAGGGTCTCTAACATGAGT